GAGGGGGAGGGGTGGGTGTTGGGGGGGCGGGGAGGGAGGAGAGCAGAGTCTCTGCCTGGTCCCAGCCCCGCTCCTCAGCCCCACGGTGAAGACCCGCCTGGGTTGTTGGGGTTGTCGCGGGATGTGTAGAGGCTGGCCCATCAGCATCTTTCTTAGGGCACAAAAAGGAGCCAGTAGAGGAAAACAAGAAGAAAAAGACAGGGGTTTTCTGTTTTCTAGATGCTGCATGATCTTGGGATCCATTTAGAAGAGCAGAGAACTGTGAAGCACAGGCACTCATGTTGAAGACTGTCCTCTTTCCTTTCTCCCAACCAGCGCGGGAACTGGGAGAAGGGCGCGGAACGTCACATAGAACTTCCCTGCCCGCCTCGCAGGTGCTGAAGCCAGGCATAGGCATTTGCTTGTGCTCACCCGGTGAAGGCAGCACTGGAATTCCCATCCAGATATGCTGGCTCCTGGGGACAGGTTCCAGGCCCCTCAGGAGGAGCCACTCCCCCAGCAATGGGCACGGCTGGCACAGGACCACCCCCCCTCTCCTGACAGACTCTAAGGCTCACCCTTCTGGCAGCTGCATGGCTGCATCTTGGGGAAAGTGACTGTCAGTATTTCCCTTCCTTTTCTTTCCTCAACATCAGCTTGACTTAACTCATTGTGGGTGTTTGATAGTCGATGTGGGTGTTTGTTAACTACCCAATTAACCGATCTCTGGGGGCAGCTAATGGCTCCGCCAGTTCTTATACATGACAAACAACCTCAGAACTTCTCACCACAGCAGCACGGGATTGCGCGTTAGCGTTCCGGTCTCTATCACAGAGGTTGAGTGGAGGCGCAGGGCAGGTGTCGTGGACAGCGGGCAAGGTTTAGAGTCACACAGAGCCTGGCTTTTGCTGTGAGAATTACGTTAGGTGACATGTGAAGATGAGCTCATGGTCTGCAAAGCTCTGGGCATGTCAGAATAATGGTCAACACTTAATGTGCTTCCAATGGGCCAGGCACAGAGTGGAAGCCCGGCTTTCTTTCTCCACTCAGTTGGGCAGCCCCAGGCAATGGGCTATTCACAGGGACATTTGATGGTGAGGCCAGAGGACTACAGAGGGGCTCAGGCATCACCACTGGAGGTGGGGAACCTAAGCCCACGGTTTCCCACGACACTATGGATGTAGCTGTTATTATGATGGGCATTATTATCTTACTAGAGGCCCGGTGCACAAAAATTTGTGCACTCGGGGCGGTCCCTCAGCCAGGCCTATGCCCTCTTGCAGTCTGGGACCCCTCGGAAGATGTCCACCTGCTGGCTTAGGCCAGCTCCCTGGGGGATCGGGCCCAAGCTGGCAGTCAGACATCCCTCTGGCAGCCTGGCAGCCCTCAGGGGATGTCCACTTACCAGCAGGGAGCAGACCTAAGCTGCAGTCGGACATCCTTAGTGCTGCTGAGGAGGCGGGAGAGGCTCCCGCCACCACTGCTGTGCTGGCAGCCATCAGCCTGGCTTGTGGCTGAGCAGAGCTCCCCCTGTGGGAGCGCACTGACCATCAGGGGGCAGTCCTGCATTGAGCGTCTGCCCCCTGGTAGTCAGTGCATGTCATAGCGACTGGTTGAGCAGCCTTAGCATATCATTAGCATATTACACTTTGATTGGTTGAACATATGACTGGACACTTGTCATATTAGGCTTTTATTATATAGGATACTATAAGGAGGCTTCGAGCCAGAGGCATCTCAGAATAAATGCGATGCACTGTGAGGCCATCCTCTTGGGCTCCGAACCAGGAAGGGGTGTCCTGGCCAAGAGACCTAAAGACTCAAGGAAATTCTTGGGAGAAAGACAAATTCATAACTTCTTTCCTGATATTGAAAAAAGGCCTTCATTGTTTTTTCTTTAGACATTCGAGGGTCATT